ATGCCGTAGTCGTTAGACCATTGCCCTCGCATCCCTACAAAGCCGGGACGGAGCACGCCGGGTTCTCACCGGACCAGGCTCTCACATCACCAAGCGCGAAGCGCCGTGAGGTATTTGGCGAGTCGCATGAAGGGTGAGCTGCATCCTGCTAGGGGTGTTCGGCATCTTGTGCTTACTTCCTTGCGTACGGATGACAGCTGCGTATGACTTAATTTATTTTCTGGTGCTTTCACTTCCAGAGACAGTTGTAAGCACTGTGTAACTGCCTCGGGGATGCTTGACCACTTTAACACAACGTGGTGCGATCATCCCCCTTGCGCGGAGTGAGGGTTCTCCACCCCGCACAACATGATCTACTGATGGGGGGGGGTGGGGGGGTACAAAATGCACAAGGGTGACTGGGCATCGTTGCTGCAAACATGACTGGCGTTGAAACAACTTGGTTTGTGGATGTTGGTGCGAGGGATAGTTTCATATTATCCCGCATGTGTTCTCGAATCTCATATGTATGTATGCATACGCATATGCAAATGCACAGGCCACGTAATAGCGGCTTTCCGTCCGATGCGACTGGATTGAGAACATCACATGCAGCACAGGCCCCACTTTTTCGCTCGGTGTATCAAGGTGTATGCTTATCAGCAAAGCTGGCAACCCGCTACACGGAGGGTTTATCGCGTTGTTGCGCCGTGCACTGAAAAATTCTCTTCTCAGTTTTTCATCTCTGTCACTGGGCAACATGGGTCACTTTCTATTCAGGGTTGGACAGACGCGACGCTTCAGTTCTTGACCTCAACCACGAGTCAGGACTCGCCATTAAGACATGAAGACACAACCTCTCGCCCGTCAGTCGCGTATATTGCCACTGGTTAGAAATCCCTCCTCTGCCTTGCTGGTTGATGGACTTGCGTCGGGGTGGGGGAGGTGGGGGGGGTGTACTCATAGTCGTGCATGCCGTAGTCGTTAGACCATTGACCTCGCATCCCTACAAAGCCGGGACGGCGCACGCCGGGTTCTCACCGGACCAGGCTCTCACATCACCAAGCGCGAAGCGCCGTGAGGTATTCGGCGAGTCGCATGAACGGTGCGCTGCATCCTGCTAGGGGTGTTCGGCATCTTGTGCGTACTTCCTTGCGTACGGATGACAGTTGGTATGACTTAATTTATTTTCTGGTGCTTTCATCTCCAGAGACAGTTGTGAGCACTGTGTAACTGCCTCGAGGATGCTTGACCAATTTTAACACAACGTGGTGCGATCATCCCCCTTGCGCGGAGCGAGGGTTCTCCACCCCGCACAACATGATCTACTCGACCACCATTATGGTTACCGCCAAAAAACTACCGAGGTAAAAAACAAAACGGTAACCTGGTTGCCGAGTCCACGAAGTGAATTGGCTTGTTTTACAACGTCGTTGCTAAGCGACGAAAACCCAATCCCCATGGCAAACACCGAGAGGGGGCTTGTTTTAAAACGTCGTTGCCAAGCGACGAAAACCCAACCCCGATGGCAAACACCGGGGGCGGCGGCACGTTTTACAACGTCGTCGCCAAGCGACGAAAACCCAACCCCGATGGCAAACACCGGGGGGGGGCGGTGGGGGGGGTGGGGGGGGGG